AAAAAAAAAAAAAAATATCTACCATGAAGTGGATTTGAACCCTTACGTGCAAAACAATCTATAAAGGGGCATAAGCCGTATCCATCTTAGCTATCCGAAGGACGAGAAGTACCTCTTTCGAAGTCACATATGTTCATGGATATCCTCCGGAGCTTGTCCTACAGTTTACAGAAGTTAGAATGTGTGAAATTAATAAATTAGTGGTTAATTTTTTGAAAACATAAATGGATTTGGGAATCTTAAGAGTACGGGAGAGTTAAAATATAATGTATTGAAATAAAAATTCTGTGTATATAGTTGATGAACATTTAGTTCCACGATTTAATTAAAAAAAATTTATGGATAACATTGAAGCCAGAGCGAGAGCAAGTCAGTTAAATATAAACATAGCATGTACTCAGTTGCAGAGTCCAAAGACTCTCAAAAAAGAAAAACTTGTGTCGTCGTTTGCTTTGGCTGTGCGTTTAGATATATACAGCTATATAGCCGATATTTCCACTCCTCTCCTCGTAGGCGCACATTCGGTATACCCCTTCCACGCGGCTCCAAAATGTGCGCCTATATGGACATTTCCACGCGAATCCACTCTTCTCATATCCCTACCATGCTTCTCAAATAAAAAAAAAAATGAGCGCCTGGTTCGGCCGTTTGGCCGCGGTGGGGCGCTCGAACCACTGGAAAAAAGTGGGCACACTCCGTAGCATGGCAGTCAGCAATCTCCTTACTAATCTCTGCCCACGCGTGACTCGGCAGCTGTGCAGGAGCAGTACGCGCGCAGAACGAAAGAGGGTGCGCGTTCCGTCATCTTGTCGGACGTTGATCGCGGGAAACGAGTTGAACAATCCGCGCGCATCGCTCCTGGAGCAACATACTAGTCGCCGCCCGCCAAGGCGGGTCGGCCTTTTCGACCATCAGGGGGTGGCGTTGGTGGACTGGGGTTTGCTACGTGGAGCAAGGCCAGTTTGACAATCGGTCGCACGTACTCGCCAGTTGCTCACGGTGACCGCGCGCACCAACCCATCAGGACCTGGCTGGGCGCGAATGATGCGACCTAGCGGCCAACAACCGCTCGATTGGAGGAGGGTGGCGTCCAGTAAGATGACGAAGTCACCGACGGCAAGAATTCGGCGAGCAACGGTCCATTTCGGCCTCTGCTGGAGTGTATTAAGGTACTTTCGGCTCCAGCGTGACCAGAACTGAGCCCGAATTGCTCTCACGAGGTCCCAATGCGAGAGAGCGTCCAAGTTCTCAGTGGGAGGCCCGGGCTGGATGATGGAATCGAGTGGGGCTCCAACAAGGAAGTGGCCTGGTGTAAGTACCTCGAGGTCGGAAGGGTCGCCGGAGAGCGGTGTCAAAAGCCTTCCGTTGAGCACCATCTCAATCCCAACTAGTACGGTGGAGAATTCCTCGTAGGTCAGATGACGGGAGCCTATTGCGCGTCGGAGGTGGCCTTTGACTGACTTGATGGCGGCTTCCCAGAGTCCGCCGAAATGTGGAGCTCCGGGGGGGATGAAGTGCCAAGCAATACTTTGCGAAGCGAGAGAGCCGGCAACGAGGTCCCAGTCGATCTCCGCAATTTGTAACGCCTCGAGCAGCTTCAGATCAGCGCGGCGAAAGCAAGTGGCATTGTCGCTCCAGAGTTCAGAGGGTCGACCGCGACGACCGGTGAACCGAGCGAGAGCGCCTAGGAAGGCGGCTGTGGAGAGATCACCGACGAGCTCGAGGTGTAGAGCCTTTGTCGTCATGCACACGAAGACAGCGATGTTACCCTTCGTAGTGCGTATGCCTCGTCCTTTTGACGCAAGTACTGAAAAAGGCCCGGCGTAGTCGACACCCGTGTGGCCAAAAGCGCGGGAAGGTGTGACTCGTGAATCTGGTAAGGGGGCCATCATCTGAGTCGCGGAGCAAGCCTGGAGTCGGGAGCATACGACGCACCGCCGCAATTGAGCCTTGATTCTGCGTGTGCCACCGAGAATCCATGCGCGCTTCACCGCATAGGTGCTAGTGACCCATTATCCGCCATGAAGAGCTCGAGTATGGGCCCAAGAAAGGACCAGCAAGGCAAGCAATGAGGCTCCGCTAAGGATCGGTGGATGCCGCTCTTCGTAAGGTAGCGAGGAGAAACCCAGTGGCCCGCCGACGCGCAGAACGCCGTTGGTGTCGAGGAAAGCTACAAGAGAAGTCAAAGGGTTCCCTTTCGGCAATCGCTCGCCGTTCTGCAAACGCGTGCGCTCTTCGCCAAACGTTTCCGATTGGCTCAAACGGACGCAGGCCAGGAAGGCATCTTGAAGCTCGGCAGGGGTCAGTGGTGAGAGCACCGGTAGGACAGGTGGGCGACGCAACTGGCGCCGGACCCACCGACGAGTGCGCACGAGAACGACGAGTAGAGTGTGAAGCTTGGAATATCGTTCAAGTATGCTTGGCTCAGCTAGATGGGTGGCGAAGCAGGCCAACGGCAGGGGTGTCACCTCTTGAAGTGCTTCCTGGGGCCAGGCTCGGTCGTTGTCGGCAAGCCACGGCGGACCGTCTCATCACAGGAGTTGTTGTCTAAGACCAGACTTATCCGCGCTTCGAGTAGCCACGTCGGCTGGATTGGACTGCGACGGCACGTACCACCAGGTGCTCGAGAATAGCGTGTCCTGTATCTGGGCCACGTAGTTGTCGACGTGGGCGTTGTTGGTTGGCTGATCGGAGCGAACCCAGTGCAGCACAATTTGCGAGTTGCACCAGGCGTGACAGCGCTCAATCGGAACTGCTAGTTCTTCGGCCGTCGAGCGCAGAAGCTTAGAAGCCAGCAGAGCGGCGTGGAGCTCCAAGCTATGAATGGTCATCCAGGCCACGGGCTCGGCCATTGGCTTTAGAGTGCGGATGGGCGCCAGCTTCGTGCGAGCGAGGAGGATGTGGCAGCGGATAGAACCGTCTGCGGCCTGGAGTCTAGAGTACAGGACAGCAGTCAGCGCGCGGCGGCTGGTATCGGAAAATACGTGCAGGTGAATGTCCGCTGACGCGACCGTTCCGATCCAACGAGGCAGGGATAGACCGGAGATGGCCTAGAGCTCGGCGGCAAAGGCAGTCCACCTNATTTTTTTTAAATATCTTCGAACAGACATTGTCGTTAATCCGTTTTTGAAAAAAATTTATCATTTAAACGAATTCTTTTGAAATTTGAAGACTTAAGTATTTTTATGAAAATGACAACTTGATAGTGCTATTATCATATACTTCTGTTACTGTACTTGTATTTTCTTTTGTATTTGTTTGTTTCTTGTATAGGTTTACATTTTTTTTACACGCATTTTCCCCTCACTCGATATGCTGTATGTTCACAGTTCTCGCTCTTAAATATAAGTTTATTCAATCTTATCCCTTTACGTTTTCTTGCGGTATTCTTTAGTTCGCTACCCTTAAATTTCATATTTTTTCTTTTGACTTATTCTTTTTAACTCTTGAAAGCCTTCTCCCCTTTTACTCAACAATTTTTATTTGCATCCCTATTCATCTTCCACGCTTGATCTGGCAATTTCTTCAAATTCCATAGTACACTTGTACAATACTTCAATCTGATCCCGTTCCAAAAGTCTAATTAACCTTTATCTTATTACCTTTTCAGACCATTTAAATCCCATTTCCTCTATCTCTCTGATTCATTTTTCAATAATTTTTTTGTCGATACTGGGTAAGAAATAATACGCTGCACATTTTCCTCCTTTCTCGTGCATACCCCACAGCTGCTATCTCAAAACTCCTTCTTGTCTGCTTCCTATACACTCTTGCATCTGAGCCTCGTCCATTGCTCCTTAACGCTTTTTTTCTTGTAATCCTGTATTGTTTTCCAATTTTTTGTTTAATGTATTTGTAATAGTCACAGTATTCAGATTTCCAAACTCTCTCCCAATCTCATTGTACTTCCTGGTCAATCTTAATTTTTAACTTCTCTGTCATTCTTATGTTGAAATCTTACCTCTCAAGAGTAATAAACAACCGTTATACTATTAGTTTCCCCTAACTTGAAGCATGCCTTTTTCTAAGCCCCCTTATTTTTTCTTTTAAACAAATTTTGGGCCATCTATGATCTTTGATTTCTACTATTCTTCAAAATAAAGCATCCAAGATCAGCGAGAGAAGGAGATCAAATAAAAAGTAAGTCAAGGGCTATGCTGTTCATATATTTATTAACGTCCAGGTGACGACATTTCGACCACTCGATAGGTAGTCCTTTTCAAATCACTAAAATAAAATAAAATAATTTACAATAAAACAAAGTTTTTCGGTGTCATGATAACAAATATATGGTATAAATATATATACCAAGTAATATAATTTTAAAAAAATTACAAATTTGCTAAAAGTAACGTCAAAGGTAGGTTTTTAGTGTGTTCATACTCAAAGCAACGTCGGCAACGTGTACATAAATTAATAAAGGCTAGGTAAAATATGAATAGGTATATACGTATAGTACACACGTGTGTAAAAGAAATAGAGTCAAAAAATTCAATGTGAACAAACTTACTTTAAGCAGTGTTTAATATAATATTTGAAAATTATAATTTACTTTTGTGTGTCAGTGATCGTATTAACTGTATCTAACTTAGTAATAGGTATATATCGTTTCAGAAGTTAAACGTTTGTGTAACAATCTTTCTTGGTCCAAAATTTTTACAGAATCGAAATCAAACGTGTGGCCGCTTTCTTTTACATGCATATTTACCGCAGATATCTCTTTCTTATGTGTAAAATCCTTTATGTGTTCTTTTATCTGTATTTGGACTTTGTGGCAAGACTGACCAACATAACTCTTGCTACAATTCTTGCAATTAAACGTACATACTGAACATAATTTATCGTTACTTAAAACTTTTACTTTACCCAAATTATTCAAAAAAATTTAATTTACTAACAAATTTTAAAATAACATCATGACCATACTTATTAAAATATTTTTTCAAAACATTTTTACAGCCCTTAACAAACGGTAATACTACAAACGGTCCTAATTCTAAAAATTTTTTTCGTTTAGTATTATTTACAATTTGGTATTTAATTTTATTGACTCGTAATCTAATACGTTTTGTGATAAAATCATCAGGGTAGTTATTGGCTTGTAATATAAGTGAAACTGTATTTAAATTTTTTTTATAGAAACATAGATCTGCAAGTTTTATAGCACGGTCAACTAATGAATAAACAATGCTAATCTTTTGTGAAACAGGTAAATAAGACAAAAAATTTTTATACAAATCAGCATGTGTAGATTTTTAAAACTAATCAGTTTTTATTAGGTCATTCTCATCCCAATGGATTGTGATATCTAAGAAATTGATAGTTCTAAATTTAGTTAAGGACAAATAAAAAATTTATTTAAGGACACATTGATTTTCAATGTCAACAAATGCCATCGAGATTCTGTTGCTCTTTTAACGGCATTAAAATGTACGTTATTAAACAGGGAAACGACATTGAAACTCACAAAACAAAAACCATGCGGAACAACAAAATCTGAAATATCATTTACAAATTCAAAACTGTTTCTAATGTTAAAATTTGAACCAGGTAAACTATTTTTAAACAATCTTGTGATGAACTTAGAAAGAAAGTAAGTAGGGGATCCAATCGAAGACGCAGTTAACCTCATAGGTTTGTCAGGTTTGTGTACTTGGACTAAGCCATAGGACCTTGCTAAAATACACTAATCTTTAACAATATCAAAAATCTTTCTGTAATTACCACAAAGACTACATTTGTTTAAATAGATAAGAAGTTAGTTAGTCTTTCGTTCGACAATGGTTAAGGGATTACTATTGATTCCTTCATAGAGGCTGTTCAGTTTTGAAGATCTTTATTGGATATGACTTAGCGCCTATAGTACAGAGATGCAGACAATTATAGCACTTCTGTCGAAGTGATCTCCCTCAGCTCCTTCTTCCTTGGGTCCTCTATCATCAGTGTGTCAGCCCGCGCCAGAGATTAGTAGGGAGATTGCTGACTGCCATGCTACGGAGTGTGCCCACTTTTTTCCAGTGGTTCGAGCGCCCCGCCGCGGCCAAACGGCCGAACCAGGCGCACATTTTTTTTTTATTTGAGAAGCATGGTAGGGGTATGAGAAGAGTGGATTCGCGTGGAAATGTCCATATAGGCGCACATTTTGGAGCCGCGTGAAAGGGGTATACCGAATGTGCGCCTACGAGGAGAGGAGTGGAAATGTCGGCTATGTAACTGTATATATCTGAACGCACAGCCAAAGCAAACGACGACACGAGTTTTTCTTTTTTGAGAGTCTTTGGACTCTGCAACTGAGTACATGCTATGTATATATTTAACTGACTTGCTCTCGCTCTGGCTTCAATGTTATCCATAAATTTTATTTAATTAAATCGTGGAACTAAATGCTCATTAACTATATACACAGAATTTTGATTTCAATACATTATGTTTTAACTCTCCCGTACTCTTAAAATTCCCAAATCCATTTATGTTTTCAAAAAATATATAGCTTCAACTATTTTTTAAGGTTTTCAGTACAGCTTTAACCACTAATTTATTAATTTCACACATCCTAACTGCTGTAAACTGTAGGACAAGCTCGAGAGGATATCCATGAACAAATGGGGAGAATCACGTCAACTGTCCCAGCACCGCGGTGGACGGCCCGCGCGGGCGTCAAACACGACGTTTTCAACTCGTCGTTTCGGTGTCAAAACTTTGATAAAAAAATTATCTAAAAACATATTCCTACGTATTTTTTTTTCAGCTTTCCAGTGGTGGCATCAATTTTTCGAAAATTTGCTCCCATAACCTCGAAAAATGCACTTGTTTGAAAATCACGTTTAATCTCCATGATCTTCAACTTTTGGAATTTTTTTGATAGTCTAGATCGAAAGATGAGACATTT